ATGCACATAGTACACAAATACACATGCAGGCAAAACCACTCAGATACACACAATGCAAATAAATCTTTGTTAAAAAAAATAAACTTAAAAAAAAATCAGTCTGTACCAAACTGTCCCATGAAGGAATAGCCTACTCATCAAGTTACTTCAGGTAATATCTCATTCTCGTCAGCAGCGGTCTAGTTCATACCAGGTATAAAGAGAGGTGTTTCTGCATGCAAACATTCAAAAAACTAAGGTCTACCTTGGGGATCCATACGGATCCAGCTTTCCCTTCCCCTCTCTTCTCCCCCAGCAAGCTCATACTTCCAGCCCAGCCAGTGGCGTCCCGGGAGAGAGAGGTCCCCTGTCCTGAGCTTACTCCTGGCTACATCTGGGCATATCTTCAAAGCATGAATAATTACCGCTTTCCTGACAACCCACATATACAGCTACTTCTCTTATAAAATATTAAAGGGTTCTCTGCCGATATTCTTAATTAGAACACATCATGACATCACAGAAGAGCAGGACTGGAGGGGATATTTTTAGATCGGGGCAGCAAATAAATTCACGCCACTGTCCCAGATCATCAGCCCGGTTTCTTGCCCTAAAACCTCGGAGTTGCCCATGGCCAGCTTGGAAGATGTAATTAGGCTAACCAGGCCCATTCTTTTTTTAATCTCCCTCCTTCGAAGTGCTTAAAAGGCTCAAGAGTAGAAGTTCCTTCCCTGTGCTTAGCCTGCTTGATAAACAACCGACTACAACACCCAGAGGCATAAACATCGATTTTCTTTTCCATATGCCTTCAGAAGATAGCCTGCCCTTCATTCTGGTCTTTCTGCCCTTTCAGCAAAAAAAAAGACTTGCTCCTTTTCACATAGATTAACTCAAAAAGCCTCACCTCTGTCCTCTCAGCTAAATGATGTGGCAGGCCTAGTAGAGGCAGACAAAACTCATAAAAAAAAATAAGTAAACAAATACAATGAAGAGATCCACAATCTCCAATTCCTTAAAAAAAAATCTAATCTTTTTCTGCAACATTGCATCCATTTCCTTTAGAGGCAAAGTCTGCCCTGCCCGTAAGGCTGACAGCCCTCACTGCTCCTGCTTAGTGTGAAAATTCATACATTTTCTTGCAAAAATGTTAATGTATTTGATTTTGCAACAATGCCCCAGACTTTGCTGACATGTTAGATAATACAGGACACATGTGCCTTTTACGAAAATAAAATATTTAGGTCTTGAATTTTAAAACCCATCTAGTCCCCAGGGTTTCAGATAATGTATCAAGTGTCTGTGGTTTAGAGTTGTAGTTGATGGATAGCCTCGATTATTCTAGTCTCAGACCCCTTTCCCTTAGATGTATTGAAGCAAAGGACGGTCAGGCCAGGGTGGGTACTGGCTGCTCCTGATGTTTTGAAGGGGTTGCCTGCACTCTGCCCTTTTCTCCGCAGTCAGCATGGGGGTGTCACAAGACATGCCACGTGAGCTCTTCCAGAAGGGCTCAGCCTTTGAAGGACAATGGGTTACAGTTGATCCTGAGACCTGCACCCAGGGAGGAAAATGGAACACAAGAGCTTTGTGGAAGACTTCCAGTGTGTTTAAAAAAAAAAAATCAGGGTGAGGTTTCAGCAGATGAAGTAAGGTGTTTGCCCAGCCCTGAGTTCCAACCTGGGAAGCCACATGATGAGGAAGACAACGGAATCCCACAAGTCGTTCTCTGACCTCCACAAGCACAGGGCAGCACACCACAACACACACACACACACACACACACACACACACACGAATGCAATAAAACATTAAAATTCTATTAACAGATAAAAACTATTGAACAAATTAACTCTCTAATGGTAACAATGGCAGCTATATTAATTACTACTGTCATCCAATAGAATGCTTCATTTACTCGTTTTTCTTTGTTTGGTTTTGCATGTGCCTACATGTGCTTGAGTGTGTGTACACATGTTCATGAAGGTCTTAGGACAACCCTGAGGAACTTTCTCTACCTTCTTTAAGACAAGGATGCTCATTGGCTTGGAGCTCACCAAGCAGGCGTGGCTAGGGCTGGTCAGCTACACCTGGAAACCCTCCAATCTTTGCCTCCCCACCACTGAGATTACAAGCACACACCACCACATTCAGAATTATATTTTAACGTGGGTTCTGAAGATTAAGTTGAGGACCTCATGCTGTTGGGGGCTGCAGAGTCACTTTGCTGAGTCAGCAGTCTCACCAACCCAGAAGTTTCATTCATTCATCCATCATTTAATGTGGACAGGGTACTCGTTCGCACTGCATTGAAAACAGGACATTCTAGCAAAAGGCAGGCGCTCAAAGCTAGAATAAGAGGGTCTCGCTGGCTCAGTCCTCTGTGTACATCACTGCGTCAGAGCGTGTAACTTCAGAGCATGTGATGTCATAGGTCTGATGTGACACCCTGAGTCCTTCTCTGGGAACCCTTGCAATGCTGGAGAGTAGGGCTCAGGCATATGGGGTTGCAGCCCAGCTCTCAGAAGCAAGCTGATAGTCTGGAAGCAGTCGCTCCATCTGCAGTTTGTCAAGGCTGGTTCGTGGGCTGCATGGTTGAAAGAGGAAGGTTGTTCTATGTCCCTCATTTTAACAGCTCGGCTGTCACATCACTGGGGTTCCCACTGAAGGGCCAGCTAATCAGTTCAGGCAGAGAATGAAGACGCCAGCGTATTAGAAGGGGCTAAGTTTAGCATCAAGAATCTGTGGGAGGGCTGCTGTCTAGAGCTGCTGAAGACAGCCTGCTTAATTAAAATCAATTCTTTTAACTCTTTATTGCCTGCCACTACCTGAGAAGGGGCTTCAGCCACCTGGATTAACCACTATCTTGGTGTCCTAGAAAGACTATGGAGGCACTGTTTGTATCAACAAAAAGGAACCTCCCTACGTCCCTCTTCAAGTGATAGACGAACACAGCACCCTGAAAACTGCCAGTCACTTCAAGACACTGGGTTTTCACATTCCTTCCTGGAACAACCATCTCCCTGGCCTCCCCAGAACCGTGAGACCTGGCCTGTGTGGCCTTGTGATTTGTTTCAATGGTAACGGCTGCTTCATATTCTGAACACCTTAGTTACTCATGCATAGTAAAGATGGCAATAATGCTTCTGGACCTTTGGGCGTGGGGCCTTTCAAGAGTTTGGGGGAAGTGGCCAGGCATTATAATAACATAATGTATAGACTCAGAAGATGGCGGAGACAGCTGTGAGTTCAAAGCCAGCAAGTTCCAGGCTATCCAGGGCTACACAGCAAGACTCTGTCTGAAGAGCAAACAACAAAGCAGCGCTGGGGGGAAGCAAACCACACTGCTTTGATGCATGTTGGCTAGAAACCAAAAATTTGGGGTGCAGCTAACAAAGAGGAGAGAAAAAGAGGAGATTTTTGTTGACTACGAATCCCCAGCCAGGGCTTAGAAGAATCTCTGAACAATTTGGTTCACTTCATCTGGCCTGCTCATAGACACGAACCAAGAGTCTGGCTTTAAGGGTTCAACTCCTCCTTCCAAACTTAGGAACCAGCTTCAAGCCTTCACTGGATCGCCTTCTAAACCTGGGAGAACTAACTTGGCTTTCTGTTCAGGACTATACAGAGTCCGTGGTTTGTCTGGTCATTTTGTTTGGCGGTGTTTATGAGAGTCCACAGACAAGGCCACACCACCGCATGGAAAACCAGTAGAGTGGAGTAAAAAGGAAGGAGAATTGTTTGTCATGTCAAAGGCCTTGAGGTGCTCTTGCTAGAAACGAAAGCACCCTTTGTCTGTTGGCTCTGAGTGAAATGCAGAAAAAGTGGCGTGGAAGTGTAGGAAAATACCACGATGAACCCCACTGGCTTGTACACTTAGCATATGTTAATAGAGTGGAGAACCAGATAGTGTCGGTCCTGGAGGCATGTTGCTGCCAAAACACAGGTTTGATAAATCACCTATAACAGAGGGAAGTTCTGGGGGAAAAAAATCATGCCGTGGTCACTTAAGTACCAAAACCCCAGGGAAGTGGAAATGGTCATCTAGAGTCGCATTGGCTCCTCTGCTGGGTCGACTTGGTGAGACTTAATTTGGCATTCTCTCATTAGTCACAGGTCACTTCCTGTGAAGGCTGAAAAGGAAACCATTTCTTCTCTGTAGCCACCTTCCGCTAGCCACTGACCACCTCCCTTTTACACAAAAATGTCCTTCACTTGTTAAACAAAAAACCCTAGCCATGTCTCTACACCCCTTATGCTTTAAGCAAAGCCATCCTTCCATGAAACCTTCTAGCAGTTTCCATCACCTTCACTTCAAATCCATGCTCTTTCTGTCCTTAAGGGATCTCTAACGATTTGGTCCATGACCATGGCTCCCACTTTGTGTGGTGTCTCTCCTTCCCCCTATTGCTCAGAACACACTCACCCAACGCTTGCCCAGAGTCCCGGCACGGTGGCTTCCTTAGCCCAGTTCTCTCCCAACTTCTGGCTTCTCATGACTCAACCCAGAAATTGTTGCCTCAGCATCCCCCAACCAGACCGCACACTGCTCATCTTCCCTGCTTATATTGCTATCACAAATCATTTCTTACGCCTCCCCACAATAAAAATGGGCAGCGCCATTGCCTGCGAGAGAGGCTGTGTCTCTAAGACCAAGAACACAGGAAGTTCTCCAACAGTGATGCCAAGGACACCATCTCAGGTCCACAGACGGTGAGGGGACCTTTGCAGCTGCTGACCTTCCTCTCTTTGACTGATCCTGAGAAAAAGAGGCCTGTCTTTGTCGAGAGCCCAAGCCAGAATTCAAGGCATAGAATTAGACCATGAGACAGAAAATACCAGCACCACTGTGGGAAAAGAGGCAATGCTCTTTGTGCACGGCTCCCTTTAAACTGTGTTTCCTCCGAAAGCCGAAGGAGTGTCTTCTGCTTGCTCTCTTCTCACCGGTAAAAACATAATTAATAGTGACATGACCACACTGAATCCTGGGCCACAGAGAGAGAGAGAGTCGACGGTGTACAGTATACCTGTCATGAGGAACAGGAGTCCAGCCACGTGTTGGGTCAGGCTTTCTTCCCAGAAGAAGCTGACGGTGGCCACGATGCAGCCACACAGCAGGACAGCCACCGCCATGCCCAGGAAGCCAGCTGTTATTCTTCTTAGATCTAATCTCAAAACAGAAACAGGCCATCAGAACTGGAGGCAGGGTCGGGCAAAAGACTGAAAACTACAGGACAGAGAGTTCCGTATATTGTGAGAAGCAGCTAGACAGGCAGGCGTGGGGCCTGCAGGGTGGAGGATTTGGGGGATTCTCAACCTGGGATGAGTAAACCACTATCAGTGTACCCCTCTGTGTCCATGAACTCAGTTCCAGCTACGGAACAGAGGAGGGGACAACCCCAGGATAAACGTGAGTGACAAACAAGATCCGCAGTTAAGTGGGTGAGGAGGATTCGAGGAACACATTCTCAGCCGTCAAAACAACCCAGAGGAAGGTCAGCAAAGCACAGCGGCTGTTATTAACCTGGCTTCTCCCTCTTTGGAAGGAAGCGCCTAGAAGCCAAGCTTGTACTAAAAGAGGATTTTGTCTGAGCATCCCAGTTGCCAATTAGTTTTGGATTTTTCATTTGTAGCTTACTCCTGTCTATTTCCGACAAGTATTTAAGAAAGAGAATGTGAGAAGGTGAAGGCACCGTGGAGAAGGAAGCAGGAGTCTACGGTGCACCATCGAGACAGCGAGCTGCTCAGAAACCCCCTCCCAGCACCGAACACCGATCTCACAAGCGGAGCGCCTGTTTACCAGGCTAAAAAGGGATGATACCCATGGGAGAGAGCAAGAGTTCACCTATCTACCCAGGCTAAAGAGAGACTATGCCCACGGGACAAGTCTCCGCTGTATGCCTAACTGGCAACGTCTATATCTGCTGTTCCCAACCTGTGGGTCTCCTCCCATTTGAGGGTCACATATCAGAGATCCTGCATATCAGATATTTACATCATAACTCATAGCAGTAGTAACATTATAGTTATAAAATAGCAACAAAAATAATTTTTTCGTTGGGGGCCACCACACCATGAGGAGCTATACTGAAAGGTGGCAGCATTAGGAAGATGGAGAACCGGCTGCTCTGTATACAAAGGCGTCTTCCACTTGCAACGTTCAGGTTGCCTGCCTTCTGGTTATTTTACTTTCACATTGTTTCTTTCTGTCTTTCCTGCTTCTGCTCCTGTCTTTGTTAGGAAAAACACAAACTGAAAAGAGCTCTTACCTAGATGCTTGAAGTCTACCATGCATCTTAAAACCAGTGTTCCCCCTGCACACACCTAATGCCCCCAAGGCCAGGCAACAAGTCTGAACAAAATACTCTGCCGTAGATCTCCGCAAACTGCGAGGTTTCTCTGCCGCTGTGGAAGTAGCCCAGGGGCACTATGGGAAGGGAAGACTGGCTACAGTAGCTTCCAATCTTGATCATAGCATCTTAGCCACATGCAGATTCCCCTATTTCTTGGTTGTTTTTTGTTTGTTTGTTTTTGTTGTTGGTTGGTTGGTTTTGCTTTTTGTTGTTTTGTTTTGAGACAGGGTGTTTTTGTGTAGCCTTGACTATACTAGAACTTACTCAGTAGACTAGGCTGGCCTCAGACTCAGAGATCCACCTTCCTCTGCCTCCTCAGTGCTGGAATTAAAGGTGTGCATCTTCCCTGCCCAGCTGGGTTTCCCTGTTTCTTCAAAGGAAGTCCTTATTTTCACCTCAGAGCTTTTAAATCTTTTAATCTGAATTAAAACAGGGCTTTTCCTTCCCTCCAAAGAGAAAATATACATCACACAATAAGGGGTTATAGAGAGTAACAATTTAAATATGCTAAATTTAGTGTTACACGGGTACAAAGAATTTGGAGATGGCCACACGTGTGGAGAGAGACTAATAATAGCTCAGTCATTTGCTCCAGCATCCCAAGGCCCTGGGATGTGAAAGACCTGTCTTCTGCAACTACTACAAAACACAAAGGTGAGGCATAACCTACAGCAGCCTGCAATCAGCTCCAGCCATGGTGGAGTCCTCACTGGGAAACGTGGTACAGATCACCAAGCATGGCTTCTTAGACACAGTCAGGCATGCGTGCACTGAAAACATCTTTCTCTTAGAAACTCCCCCAAGGCTGACGCTCAAACCATTTGTTGCCTTGCTGGGTAAAGAGGCCCAAACTTGGAGAGTTAAAGAGATGAGGTACTTTGCAGAACCCTGTAATTTTTTTTTTATCTGGCCAAAATCAGTAAAAATGAGCCTGGTCCCCACAGACACCTGAGACAAGGACCTTCAAGGCTGCTCATAAGGAGGTAGGAAGGAAGACCACTCGAATGGGACTACCGTGAAGTGCTTATTCAAATTTGCCAGCAGGAAAGAACTTCCAAGACGTCTATTATGCTCTCAGAAAATAAGCCATGTTTTATCCAATGACTTTTGCTTTTGAGACAGGGTTTCTGTGTAGCCTTGGTCATCCTGGAACTCACTCTATAGACATGGATGGTCTCGAACTCAGGGATCCACCTGCCTCTGCCTTCCAAACGCTGGAATTAAAGACATGTGTCACCACTGCCTAGCTTTTATCCAGTGACTTTCTAAGCCCTAAAGTTTGAGCCTCCACATTTGCCATGAGGTTTGGGACAGAGCTTTTTTCTCTATAGGGAGATTTACTGAGGCAGCGTCCACAGTGGCTCTCTCCACCAAGCAACATGACCACAGCCCTCTTCACGGCTTGCTCACTGGAAAAGACAGCAATGCTGACTTCTGAATCTGGGCACTGGGAAGAACTCAGTGCCACCCACCACTAGCCAGCTAGAGTCAACAACTTCCGGGTAAATATCCACCCTTTTTAGTTTCATATCGCATGCTCTTATCTAGACTTTCACATTTCCATGACAGTGAAAAAGAGCAGTTCTTTCCACTGAGTGGAGATAAGAGACGATCTTCAGCAAAAATACAATGTTCTGAGCTAAACACAGCAGTTAAAATAAATATTATATAAAGAAAAAATGAGAGCAGTGAAGGTATAATGTCCCGGGTAAGTCCTTATACCCACAGACTTGGAAAAAAATAATGGCATGGGCTGGGAAGATGGTTAGGAAGACTGAGTGCTCTTGAAGATGATCTGAGCTTGGTTCCCAGCACCCATGCTGGGTGGCTCACAGCCGCCTGTAACTCCAGCTTTAGGAAGGTCTAGCGGTGTGTCTGGCCTCTAAGGGCACATAATTAAAAATACAACTTAAAAAATAAGTTTCAGTCACCTGATGTTAGCTAGCAATGCCACTCAGGCAGACAGGCACACAGCCCTGTCATATAGAGCGTCACACCTGATTGCTCTCACACTTGAATTGTAAACAGGCTGTGTTCACAGCACAGCGAACTGACGCTTGGAGTGTCTGACCAAGTTCGGCTAGGACCAGAGGGTACATAGGACAACCAGCTTTCATCCCAAACTTAAGAGGGAGGCGGGGATTTTTTTTTTTTTTTTTTTGGCTAATCCTTTCCCAGAAATACTTACGGAGCAGGTGCCATTCATCTTGCTGGATTGTCTTGGTTAAATTGAAAGGAATGTTCCTTAAGCGGATTGGCTGAGAAAAGTGGTACTTGATAGCTGTGCAGCGCTGTGCAATTCCTTGAAAGAAATAAGAAATGCGATTTGCTTGCCTTTTCATTTGTAATAGAATTCGGGAGCCCAAGGCAGAATAATTTATCCTAAACCAGGAAATGAATGGGAAAAGGGTAAGAAATCTCTTGATGGCTGTCACTAACAGAGGCAACTCATGGCAGGAAAATACAAAACCTTAAAATAGATTTTAAAAATCACATTCCATTTAAATGCATTCTATGAGTGTGTATATATACATATATTTAAATATATATGTATAGAGATATGATGCCTTTCAATATTGAATAAGTTTGTATGACTTGAATACAAAGCTATTCAGGGGGAAAATGGTTGAAGAAAACTAGCCTAGAATTTTAAATTAACATTTAAATGCCTTTTCTAAATTTGATCTAGTCTCAAACTCTCAATTAAGTTTCACCCCCAAAATTCATTAGTATATGTGTTATTTGGAAACTAGAAGACTTTTCCCCATAGTCAGCTTCTACATAGTGGTTTAGGGCACAGCTGCAATTGTCAAACAAAGGTCTGTTTGGTCCTCCAGCAGTTCCTGTCATTTCTTAACATTACAGTCTTGAACTTTGGAACTTGAGGAAGACTTTAGTCTTGATGGAGGAGCCTCTCTTCCCCCCATCTGGTGGCATGGCCAGTCCCCCTTTTGATGTGATCTTGTGTAGCTATTGGGTTATCTTCAGCCCTCTTCCTCATCCTCCTACCCAATGCGTTCATTGAGTGACTTTATGTGTCTGTTCTAAAGCCTTCTGAATCCTACGAACAGCATTGTTCTTCTCCTAAAACGCACCAACAAACAAAACATACTTCTATCAGGTCAGTCATCATGGCCACTTGTTTGAATAAACACATCTCATTACACTGACTTTAAAAGCAGCATGAGTGCACGACAGCCCTTGAGCCCGGGCAGCTGTTCACTGGAGAATCCTCATAGATACAAATTAATCTCTAGTGGCTAGACAGTCAGGAAGGAAAAAGAAAAAAGAAAGAAATCAGAGAGTGAAAGGAGGTTAATCTTACAGAAATAAATACTGGGGAGATCTGCCAAACACTAATACTAGATTGGACAAAAGAAATTCCTAGGAAGACACACACTCAAAGGCTAACTCAAGGCAACAGGTAATCTAATCTGACTATATCTATAGTAAGAAAAAGAAGGGAGTTTGTAATTAACTTCGTAAAACATGTCCTGTAAGGAAAAGCCCAAGACAGCTGGTGAGTTTTACCGAATGCTTAAAGAAGAATCAGCAATTCTCAGACTCATAAAAGTTTTTTTTTTTTAAATCAAATGGAAGTGAAGAAAATGCCTCCTAGCTTTTCAGAAACCAAGACATCACAAGAAAGGAAGCTATGTGTGTCTATGTGTGGGTGCAAACATGAGTACATATGTGTGCACATGTGTGTGAGATCAGAGAACAGCCTTGGGTGAGACTTCTCAGATACTACCTGCCTTTTTGTCCTTTCCTACTTCCTTCCGTCTTCATTCCTTCCTCTCCTCTCCTCTCTCTCTCTCTCTCCCTCCATCCCTCTCTCCTTCTCTCTCTCTCTCTCTCTCTCTCTCTCTCTCAGAGGACCTTTCACTGGCCTGGAACTCACTAAGTCGACTAGCTAGACTGACCAGCCTACAAGTCTCCAGGGACCAACCTGGTTTCACATTCCAAGTGCTGGGATCTCAACCAGCACCATGCCAGCCTTCACCATGCCAGCCTTCACCATGCCAGCCTTCACCATCCCAGCCTTCACCATCCCAGCCTTCACCCTCCCACCCAGCTCTTTTTTACTTTTATTCTAAAACAAACAAACAAAAGGCATGGGTTCTGCAGATCAAAATAGGGTCCTCATACCCTTACCAGTACTTACCATGTGAGTCAACTCCCCAGTCCCAGGAAAATATGTAACATTCTTTAATATTTTTTATGCAAAACTCCTTCCCAATCCAAGCAATCTCAGCTTGGCAACATTTTAGAAAGTTATGCATCATGACCAAATGAGATATCTCTCAGGAATACAAATTGACTTACTATACAAAATTCAGCTCATGCAGCATTCCATATATATTGAACAGAATATAGAAATGATTTGATCATCCCAGGCACACAGAAAAACCATTGGACAAAAACCCACTTGAGGGGCTGGGGAGATGGCTCAGCAGGCCAAGGGCTTGTCCCGTAAGCATGATAACTGGGCCAGCTGCTTACCGCCTACATAAATACTGGCTGGGTGTGGCGGCCATCTGCAATCCCACATGGAAAGCAGGGAGAGGGGATCCTCAGTGCAAGCTAACTAGCTGAACTATTGGAAAAGGCAAGCTCTGGGTTCAAGTAAGGTGCTCTGCCTCGGTACCTAGAGTGGAGAATAATTACAACACCCAACACCAACCTTTGGCTTCTACACACACGCACATGCACTAGCACCCACACAGTGAAAGACACACGCATTCCACAGTCCACACACACACACACACACACACACACACACACACACACAAAGAATCCAACTGATAGTCACCAATGACCCCAGGTATATTTCCACTAGAGAGAAAAAGTCTGGAACACAGAGGCTAAATAATTAGCCTGAGGCCCCAGTACAAGGCAGTAAGCAAGTCTCAATGTGTATGCTGTTAGACAGACTGAATTCTTTAGCTTTTAGAAACTCGGATTCTTTAACTTTTAGAAACTCATGTTAATTCTACAGATTTCTATAGTTGTTATTATTCTAAAATATATTGTTGATTCAATGTGAAGAATTGATTTTTCCAAGTTAGTACCGACATGAGCACTTTTGGAGAGAAAGCTGCTTCGTGGTGGAGGGTTCTGTCTGTGTATTTTCTACACCTGTCTACACATGTTATTAGGAGATTAGACTGGCTATGTGGCTGCATCCCTGGCTTTCCCCACCTGCATCTCTTGGAAACTGTTTCATGCTAGAGAAAAGGTACAGAACTGGGGGAAAATCAATAGTTTTTTCAGACTCACTGAGATTGGCTTTAAAACAACTTCTGCACTTAGGAGACCACATGCTTCCTTAAACCACCGTAAACATCCCCAGGACGGACCCTCCTCTGCCCTGTGGCAGTAGCAGACAGGACCCTAGGAGGTGAAGAACAGCAAGAAGGCAGGCAGCTGGGTGCTCCGCTAGTATTAGAAAGGAGGAAAGAGACAGATACATCACCAGATGCAGTTCCTTCTCCTGGGATATAAGTCTAAACTTAATCGCCAAGGATGCCAAAGGTGGCATCAGAAGGTGGCAAGGGAAGGAACCAGATCTACAAGCAGCCCTCAAAGGTCTCAAAGGTTACGGGTCTGGTGGTGAAGTCCTGACATCCCAAGCATAGTGTGCAAGAAAAATGTCCTGTTCCCAGTGCTCCACTCCAGACTTTGACAGGATTAGAAGAGAAGACGTGAGCAAAGGCGGGATTAGAGAGCAGCCATAAGACCTCTGATGTCCTTCTCTTAAGTCCTTTCTGCTGTCACGGCACAAAGTCAAACAGATTTGCCCGAGTAAGTATAATTATTAAGGTTTGGCTTCCCACAGCCCGTGCATTACACTAACAAAAATGGCACAGAAAAAGACCTGCTAGTGCTCAATGGCTTACCAAAGCTCTTCCACCATAAGGCCTTAAGGTTAAAAAAAAAAAAAAAAAGGAAAGCAGATCGGCACAACTATTCATGTACAGTCTACATGGAGGAGGATGAAGGCAGACATCTCCTGGGCAGAGGCAAGGAACGATACTGGCAAAATCCACAAGGAGGCGTGAGATTCCAGGGCTTTTAAAGCCACACAAGCAAACTCTGAAATCAAGCCTGCTTGCTGGGCTTAGGAAGGAGGAATCTGGCGCTCTGCAAAGGGACACAAAAAGCATGAGCTCATAGCACCAGATGGCATCACACAATGAGGGGAAGAAGCATGCAGAGGACTGAAAAGAACAAGTCGTGGTCTATATTTGGTGATTAATTAGCTTCTTACGGGGCCAAGTAGAGCCACTTTAATGATGCTAAAAACCATAGAATAAAATGTATAAGTAAATACGTTGTTCTGGGTGAGGAACGGAGCCTTTGACCTAGTGAACTGTTACCGTCTCTAATGCTGACAGGGATGAACTTGTTCACAAGCTGAGTCACAGGGAGGTTAAATAAGGGAGAAACATGACAAGCACACGACGCTATAAAAATCATGGTTAATCAACTGAGACGTTATTCGGGCTTTGAAGCTGGGCAGGACATGGGTTTGAATTACAACTGTGCTAATTTAATTTAGTGAATCATTTAACCTGTGTCTGAATTCCCTCCCCTGTAAAAGTGGCGACACGGCAGCAAATATTTCATAGTGTTATTGCAGGGAAAGCAAAGCCTTGCTCGGGACTTAGCCTAGACCCTGGCCTGAAGTAAGTACCCCATAAGTGTCCACGTTGGGCCATGAGTCACCTCTCGGCACTTGCTCATATTCATTAGACAGAACCACTGCCACGTACCAGGGGGCTATACCCTGCATGGCCATATAGACTAACCCACGTGTACAGTGGAACCCTGTAGCCGTTGCCTGGGCAATGACCCAACCATTGGTTCCCGCTTTCCTCTTCATTCCCGTCACTGTGACCACTGAAGAGACTGAGGACAGACCTCCCTGTCACTCTTCTCTGAGACCTCAGGCCACACGTGTGCCACTGCTGGGTTAATCGGTTACGTGGTCATTTACAGTGTTTGACTGGCTGCTCTTATAGAGGACCTAAGTTTGATTCCCAGCACCTACATGGTAACCCACAACCATCAGTAAATCCAGTTCCAGAAGATCTGATGCCCTCTCCTGGCCTCTGAAGGCACCAGGCACACACATGGTGCACAGACATACACACAGGCAAAACATAAAAATAAAAAATGAGTCAAATGGAACTTGAAGATTTCTGAGATTTTTTTTCTATTTTTTTTTTCTTGAGACAGGGTTTTTCTGTGTAGCCCCTGGCTGTCCTAGAACTTCCTCTGTAGACCAGGCTAGCCTCG